ATATACAGGTATAAGAACCTCCATCACTGATATACAGATATAAGAACCTCCATCACTGATATACAGATATAAGAACCTCCATCACTGATATACAGGTATAAGAATCTCCATCAATGATATACAGGTATAAGAACCTCCATCACTGATATACAGGTATAAGAACCTCCATCACTGATATATACAGGTATATACATATATGAGCCTCCATCACTGATATAGTTTATTTTTCTCCTGCAGATGGAATAGCAGTCCTCGTTGACCAGACACTAAGACATCAGCGATGGACATTCAGAACTTTGAGAAAGGGCGTATAAAAGCCCTTCAGGATGAAAGAGTCTATATACAGAAAAAGACCTTCACAAAGTGGGCCAATGCCTTTCTCGAAAAGGTGAGTTGACTGGTATTTTGTTATAGCTGCAGTCTTTGATTTTAGCTGTTACATGGGCCGCTATATACACTGATTGTCAGGAATACTGTAACAGGCAATTAATAGAGAGACAACAGAAATAAAACCATAGACACACTAGTAATTTGTTTTTCAAAAAACTACTCACCGTCTGGCTTATAGGTTCAGCAGTGCTGTCTTTGTTTAGTTTATGCAAAGGTTGTTCTTCATGCTCTTCAGTATTCTTCTTCTTCTTTCACTCCCTGACCAACAATAACATGTGCACTACAGTTAAAATTTGTTTATACAAACTCAATCACCCATATTTCCCCTTGCATGATTTAAATAATTTTTGTAATTTTTAGTAATTTAAACTCAGATAAATCAAATAATCTTTTCATTGCAATAGTTTTTCATGGTCCCAGCAACTTTGACACGATAATCATCCATTGTGTGCACGTGTCGGTAGTAATAATTATACACCTGCAACACATTTAGGGGGTGTATAATAGAATGTCTAGTGTTAGGTAAAAGATTGTCCAACACACTGTTTACCCTCTTAACTGATTTGTTTTATGAAACTTGGTACACAAGATTGATACCTTAAGAATAGGTGCATATGCGATTAATTTTAATATTGCAGATTCTGTTTTTGGGGGAATTGTACCACTGCTTTGATTTCAATTGGTAAATTTTGTCAGAAGAAGTGCAACTTTTTGTAATACCTGTATACGTGACTGATATTTTTGAAACTTGTTGTGATTGCAATTTATTTTGTATCTTAAGTTTTTAGGTCACCTGAGACAAAGTCTCAAGTGACCTATTGCCATCGCCTTTTGTCCGCCGTTGTCCGTCGTCCGTCCGTAAACAATTTACATTTTCGACTTCTCCAAAATCCCTGAACCAATTTCAGTGAAATTTTGCAGAAACTTTCCATGGCCAAAGGTCAACAAAACTGGGTGCCGGTTTGGTCCCCGGCTCCCAGGGGCCTGAGGGGCGGGGCCAAAAAGGGTAAAATTGACTAAAATTTTTACTCTTCATATATGGAAGGGTCTTAAGGTGCTTTACCAAAATTGTGAATTTCAATTTCAAAATTAATTATGGTTTATAATGGCAAATGATACTTTGAATATTACATGTTAATAACTTGATTGGAATTATAACCCTGAGTTGACAGTTTGATACTTTGAAAATTTTGAGCCAGCCCTACCCCCAAGGGCTGTAGGGTGGGGCCCAAAGGAGTCAGTGTGCTAAAATTTCTTTATTTTCCTTGTTTAGAATCAGAGGTGCTAGTTTCAAATACTTTTTATTCTTAAATCTGTATGCTAGATATTGAATAAGGTGGTTTGATTGTTTTTTGTCAATGAATAATATTTCTATTCGTGTTAAAAACAAAGTCAACTCTCTGTATAAATATATCAGGTGACCGTTAAGGCCCATGGGCCTCTTGTTAATAAAGTTATGCTCCATTTTCGATCTCTTGTTTACGAGTAAGATTGGGTATGACATGACTTTGGCTTACACTTCTTTTTATGATGACAATTGTAGATGGTACTCTCTTTCTTCAAAAATCTGAATTTTCATTATAAGGACAAAATATGTGACTTCAATGTTAATCCTGGAGGGAGCCAATTGGGCCCAGATCCCTCAAAACTGAAATTGGCCCTTCCTGTTTTTCCATTTAATCTTTTTAATTCGTTGTATAATGGCACCATTGACTAAAAACTGCTGAAATTGTTTCAAAGCTCTTATATTAGCTCCCAGGATTTCTCCTGCAGATTCGACACTACATGTACACCTGGTTACAGTGATACATAGCATGTATCATTTAATTTCCTGTCTTATTTACTCGGAAAGTTCGCTTTAAATCATTTACAAAGGTAGGAAGTGTTAGGCGACATGGAGCGGGATGTTCAGAAAGCTTAACACCTAACCCAGACATCACCTTAGCTTGTTGAATGTTGGTGTATTAACGGCAATCGAGAGACCTCTGAATTTTGTCTTCCCTACATGGATAACACAGAATACCTTTAGATACCTGTAGATGTTTTAGGTATGTCAGGTAGAAGTTTGTCACAGAATGTCAGTGTTTAGCTCCATGTTTTACAAATTAACATATCTGGTGGTATCTAAAATCTAATAGTTGAATATATTATATGGAAGTTGATAAGGTTAGTGCAAGGACCACACTCTGTAAGGAAGTAGACTTGCATAATTTTAATGCCACGTTCTGAGTAACTGTTTAGTTTCAATCTCTACACACAAATGTGAGGATATAGGATGCCCTTGCACTGGGTTATGTCTGGCTGAATAAACATGTGTCATAAATCATTCTAATGCACTTATAATTTATAATGACCTTCAGGCAGCAGTGTGTAAGCTTCTGTTTGCCACCACATATACATATATGTGACAATTTTATATCTTCTAGTGTTAATTCAAACAAAGGTGTTCAGTCAAAGCTGAGATATATATTTTTGTATGGTATAAAAAAAAACAATTTTAGACTTTTTGAAGTCACACAGTGGTTGTCTTCCAAAGAACATGTCACTTAATGTATGGAAACCACACAGTGACAGACCAAGCTAGCATTAGTGTAATTTGTATGGAACCCACACAGTGACAAACCACGCTAGCACTAGTATAATTTGTATGTAAACCACACAGTGACATGAGGCAGATTCGTGTATACAGCTGCAATACCGTCCGAGAGCAGGTATACCAAGCTAGCATTAGTGTAGTTTGTATGGAAACCACACAGTGACAGACCAAGCTAGCACTAGTATAATTTGTATGGAAACCACACAGTGACAGATCAATCTAGCACTAGTATAATTTGTATGGAAACCACACAGTGACAGACCAAGCTCATTTGGTTTCATTACATACACTTTATGCATGTTGATATCAAAGCATCTTATAGTTATTTTCCCTAAGTTATCTTTCTGTTTTTTTTTCTGATGACAATTACAACTGCTGAGTCACGAACAGGTCGTTCTACTGAAATTCCTATGAAATACAAATTATATTAGTCTACTTCCGCTAACTCTCGCTATTCATTGAAAACCAGTCAAGCAGTTGGTGATAATGTATGATTAAATTTAAATTCAATCCAGGCAGCTTCGTTGTGGAGCTATGCATAGACTGGAAAAGAAGGATATTATGTTTTAACTATCGAGCATGTTTTTGGCATGTCATGCAATAATTTTGCAACAGAATTGAAAAGAAACCATAATTTACCCTACAATTCTGAATGCACTTTTAAACTATTGGGAATAACCTCTACATATAGCTAGCAAGCGAAAGGATACAAGGAAATTATGAGTCTAGGACACATGAAATGAGAGACTTGCACATATTATGTAATCATGTAGAGATCTGTCGCTAACATCTGTCAGTGTCTGTTGATAGCACTGTCTGGCTATAACAATCTGGTATTGCCCCTATGTAGAAATCAGACAGAAGTGAGATTCACACAGGAAGTTATTATCTATGTTTTATAGTCATTATTAAGTGTTATGTCTCTTTCTGACTCTGGTGGATTTAGATAGTAAATGTTTGTGTGTCCTGTTATATCCGAAAAATGACAGTAATGATAAATGATGGCAGAAGTGTAAGACTTACACCTTTTACAGTATAGGTAGTTGGTGGTGAGTTCTAGAGCTGATAAAGTTTTCAAGGTCATTGGTGGAAGTCAAGGTCATTTGTTCATTTATTGTGAACCTGGATTTTTACCATATTTTTCACATCGGCAGTTTATATACACTACATACATATTGGTAGAATTAAGTCTGATCTATGACCTTTACAATCTCTTCAGTCACACGGTGTACATTTTATTTTTTGTAATAACCACCTAGCTGTATGATGAACCTGTACAGACTATAAAGTCTGCTTATCTCTTAATTGAGTAGTGTTCTTTGATAAACTCTAAATTTTCCCACAAAATTACACATTTTAAGACCTTTTGTTATTGATTTCAGCTTTCAAATGTCATCATTTCATCATGCATCTATTATTTTTGCCTGCTTAGAAACTGCCAGATTTTTATGAAACTTGGCGATAAATTTTATCAGTCGGTGGTGGGGATCAGAATTATACTCAGGAGGATCAGGTTTAACCTCAGGGAGATGAGATTGGCGGGCCATACTAAGGGGTTACACAGTGCAAAATCTTCAAAAACATCTTCTCTGAAACTATTTGGTGGATTTTCACCAATATTCCAGAAAATGATTTGAAATGGGGCTCCTAGAGGATGTGTCAGTAGGTGTCCCTACGCACAAAAAGCTCAAATGACATCGCCTCTAAAAGTTGCCTGGTGGATTTAGATCTACCAAATGTTAATGAAATAATCCTTTAATGATCAGAATAAAAATTTATGCTCGGGTTAAACCTCCATGGGACCCTAAGGGGTCATTGTGCAAGTTATAAAAGACATCCCTGAGAAAAAATACTGTTGGATTTTCATCAACCTTCTATAAAATGATCCTAAAAAGATCAGAATCAGAATCTATACAAACCAAAGGGTTGAACTCCCAGAAAGTCTGAAGAGTGGGGCCGCGCCATAAACGCCCATAATGTGAGCAGAGTGAAAAGCTTTCAAAATACATCTCTTCTGAAACTTACTGGTGTATTTTCACTTGTGTTCCATTAAAATGAAGGATCTCCAAATATAAAGAAGTGAAGTATTTATAGCAGCTTCATTGCTGAATTTGTCCCACCGAAAGGTAACAAGGTGTAGATTCCTAAAAACATGGGATATGCCAGTCCAAATTACAGTCATTTATATATTTTGTTAAAGATGATAGTGCCCAATAGTGTAGATCAGTGGAGGGTTGTTGATGTGCCACACTGAAGCTTACTTAGTTCTCATCACTTATTTAGTCAGCAGGTCAATCTCGTAAGCACCTCTGAGAATGAGATTTATTACCCTGCGGAATTCATAGTTGTAGAGACTCTTTGTATGCTTGATCCCCGTGCATATCAACTTATCTTTACTACAT